GAATGTGATTTAGATGATGATGAATGTGATTAAGATTATGATGATGATTATGAATGTGATTTAGATGATGATGAATGTGATTGAGATGATGATGATGATGAATGCGATTAAGATTATGATGATGATTATGAATGTGATTTAGATGATGATGATGATGATGAATGCGATTAAGATTATGATGATGATTATGAATGTGATTTAGATGATGATGATGATGATGATGAATGCGATTAAGATTATGATGATGATTATGAATGTGATTTAGATGATGATGATGATTATGAATGTGATTAAGATGATGATGATGATGTTGTTGATGACAAATAAGTTGTTCAAAATAACGAAAAATATAATTTCTCACTTCAATATTTCACAAGAAGCGTCAACAACAAACACACACAGTTCATGTGGTAAGCAAGGATATCTCTGCCATCGAATCCAGTCACCGCATTGCCAATGTCAAACGCTTTACCGTTACACTACCGCACAGCCAAAATGATGATGATGATGATGATGTGATGATGACGATGGTGATTCTGAGGACTACGATAATGATGACAGTTACGGTGATTAATATATAGATGGCAATGAAACCGAAATAAAGAACCGTTTAAACAAAAATAACGGTGATACATAGACCCAAAATGAATGAATGAGTGAGTGAGTGAGTGAGTGAGTGAGTGAGTGAGTGAGTGAGTGAGTGAGTGAGTGAGTGAGTGAGTGAGTGAGTGAGTGAATGAGTGAATCATAAACAAAAATTTACACAACAACAACATTAATCACCACATAGACACAAATATAAACAACAACAACAACAACATTAATTATAAACAAACAAAATATGGAGGCGAATATTTGGTAACCGTGAAAAACAAGTGAAGGAAACATTCAGAATAGGTTAACGTTTATGACTGAGTGAGTGAGTGAGTGAGTAAGTGAGTGAGTGAGCGAGCGAGTGCTAGCGAAAACTGAAACAGTGTTCACACGTCAAAATCATTTGCAGTGGATCTCTTTTTTCCAAAATATAATTCAACGTTTTTTTTATTATACTTTTATCATAAGAATTCAAAATAAATTCGTAAAACCATTTGATAAAAAACACATACCAACAATGCGTACATGAGTTCATAAAGTCCAGCATATTCACATGATCACGCAACCGAACCATGCAGCAACCAGCTGGAAAGAACAGCGACGGACCAGAAACTGATGGACATGCTAAGGAACGAGGTCAGCAGTTTGAAGAAGGAGCTGAAAAAGCAAAAGGAACTCGTTGGTAGGTTGCAAGAGAGAGAGAAACAACTTCAAGATCGGTGAGTTGGTTGAATGATAGGTTGGTTGAATGATTGGTTGGTGGGTTGGTTAAATGATTGGTAGGGTGGTTGGTTGGTCAGTTGGTGTATTGGCTGGTTGGTTGGTCAGTTGGTTGAATGATTGGCTGGTTGGTCAGTTGGTTGAATGATTGGCTGGTTGGTCAGTTGGTTGAATGATTGGTTGGTTGGTTAAATGATTGATTTGGTGGTTGGTTAGTCAGTTGGTTGAATGATTGGCTGGTTGTTCAGTTGAATGATTGGTTGGTTGTTTGGTTAAAAGATTGGTTGGTTGGTCAGTTGTTGTATTGGTCGGTTGCTTTGACCGACCTACTGAAGAGTTTGTCAGTTTGATAGATTGTTTATTCGTGTTCGTATGAACGAGATTTTTTCGTTTACATTATATGTAATAATTATATTGTTGTTATTTTTCGTCATTTTCATTCAAATATAAAACTAGCTGAGTTCCCAACTATTTATTGCACGTTAACAGACTTCAGCAGACAAGGTTAATTAAGTTTTCAAACAATTTTTTCATCTAGAACGGTTTTTATTCTTTTACATGAAATTCTGTACAGGTTATTTTTAGTCGACAAATCTTTTAATAATTGAGTAAAAAAATACATCAGATGTAAAACTATTCATCGAAATGGAACTTAAAATTTTAAAGAGTAACTATTTTTAACCAACACCGAAATAAATAAATTTGCCATCTAATGTTCGCAGATTCTTCTTTGCGGTTTGACGAAATATTGAACTTTGCAAGCAACATCCTGCATGTCGAACACTTCACTTCGGCATGTCGGACAGGTGCCTGCGTTCTGTTGTTCGATCATAAGTGTCGTCACGTTATTCGTTTAAAAATAAAATTACTCACCATTTATGAATTTTAAATTATAATTTAATTAATTAACAAAAAAATAAACCAAAATCAATTAAATACAATTTTTTATATTAAAAGATATATAATAAAAGTTTTTATATATGCACCTTAATTAAATACTGAAAATACTGTCAACTGACATGTTAAAAACGAACTTGGCACTTTAAACCGAACACTTCAAAGCAAATGACCCACGCTCACTGATTAACCTAATCCAGAAAACATTATATAATTTTTTACAATCACAAAATTATAAATTCAGAACAATTTTCTTAAACCAAATGATCAATATCTTTTAAATCTTTGAACTTAACCTGTCATATATTGCTGTTGCGCTAAAGTAAGAGAACACCGAACCAAGAAGAGCAGTGAGCGGACGAAGAAAAGAATAGTATTTCCTCTCTACTGGGGACTCAGCAGCAGTTTCTTATATAGCTCCCACCAGACCGTCGCGTGTGTGTTGGCAAACGTGATGGATGAGGTTGAATTGTCGGGATCGATCCTGTGCTGTCGTATCGAAGAAAGATTCGCGTTGGAGTGGAAACTTTCTGCTTGTTTTTCGATCACGTTCTTTCGATAACGTAATTACTTGCGTAATACAAAAATGAACGAAAACATGCTTGGCAATGCGATTGGATAAGTAGAAGTCCGATCGTAAAACGTCGCGAGAGGAAAGGGTGTTGCCTTTGTTTTAAAACTATATATAGAAAGTCGTCACGTGTTTAAATTAGGGATGTGCGGGTTCAACAATACTCACCCGCTAGACCGTCAGCGTTAGCTGTTGATACCAATTCGATACTAATCAGGAGATCGAGATGAGAGGTGAACTTTTCTTCCCGATCGTGTGGTTCTCTGAGGTGGTGGAATGTTGGTGTCGGTGGGTCGATTTGGGTGTGCTTGAGACGACGCAGATGTTTATGTTGCTGACGTGCCCGCGTACGCTGTTCGAGGTAGGGTTGACGTTTTTGTTGATGCTGATGTGTCATTCGACGACGGAGTTGATTTTACTGAAAGTCGTGTAGAACAGTTGTTTCGCGGACCGGTACGGAATTTAATGGGCATGCTGCGGACCACCATTACACAATATATATGTGAATGTCGGCAGATTTGTAGATTTTGTTAATTTGTTAATTTTAGAAGCATGAAATCTTTTAGCTACAATGTTTATTAAAAATAAATAATAGTACAATTACTTCGATATTTTGAAACAAAATGTAAATAAAATGAAATAAAAATTAGTGTGAAGAATGAGCTTGTTTTCTTTTTGTGATTACATTAAGGCGTGGTTCAAATGAAGACAAAGCGTAGTGGTGAAGAAACTTCCAAATAGTTTCTGAATTTTATCTTAATCACAGCCATACATGAAAACCCGATTTCACACAAATAAGTAGAAGAGAAGGAGAGAAGAATTTGTATAGCTTTTCGGTGAGCTCTGGGTATTCCGACCTAATGTTTATCCAAAATGCGGCAAGCGAAGATGCATTCTCAAATCGAATCTGTAACCCTTGGTCAGCTGCAAGTTCCGAAATGTTATCTTCCAGTCTAACGGTTAAATTCTCTCTAAGCGTAACAAATGAATTTCTGAAACTAACCTTATTTTAATTCTAAACAGTTTTTATTAACTCCAATAAACTTTAATAACATGCGCAATATTTTATTCCGTTTCAATCAATTTCAAAATCACAGATACATGCGATTAACAATAATATTACGTAATTTTAAAGTTTCGCAACGTGGTTCTTCTTTGTTTATAACCACGTGTTTTTGAACAGCTGATCACACGCACATGTTTATGCAAATTAATTTATATATATATATATATATATATATATATATATATAGTGTGCATGATATAATGATACTTTTAAACAGCTGACAACGTTTGCATATGTATATATATGTATGGTCAGTTATGGTTAATATATCACGCGTGAAATACTATTTCGTGCTCACTTTCATACTCATCTCACACTCTAATCATGTTTTTTTTAAACAGCTGACCACCCTCACATATATACTTATCTCGCCAATTTAGAACAATGAATCTCATTTGTTGCAGAGATCATTCTGGCTTTCGCGGTCTTACTCCTATTCTTATCTCACCAGTACTAAATAATGAAATTTTTTTGTTGCTGGTCAAGTCTATTTTTTTATTTTGAATATTTTTAAAAATTTTGGGAGAACGCCGCGGACCGGCAGCTGCTAGTCCGGCGTTAAATATTTTTCAAAATCTTGACCCCTTCCGTCCAAGTTGAATAGATCTGCCACTACATCCACTAGCTAATAAATATCTCACGACTTGACATCTTTTTTTATGAACAAGTATTTTCTGTGCAGTTTGAAAATTGCTATGTAGTTACTATTATGAAAATAAACGGTTAACGTTATTCGTTCGAAGATTGTCAGAACAAGCTCGTCGTCAGCTCGCAAAAGGTTCCAGCAAGTTTGAGGATTTGAGTTTGGGAGCCAACAGACCGACGCAACTCATTAAAAGGTCAGATTCTTGAATTACTGTTTTGTATAATACCACGCTTCTCCGAATGTTATCCAAGCACTCCAATCAATGAATTGGCTCATAAAAAATTGACATTGTTTTCGTTGTCTTATTACAAAATTTGCTGGGCGATCTGATTTGCATGTCAAGGCTATGAATGTACTTTAAAGTTTGTTACATTTGGTTTGCATAATGTGCGCCATTTGGTGTTAAAAACCATTCATGAAAGTTGAAGGGAAACCTCACGAACAAATAAACTCTAAGTAAATTTGTTTTTTCGTTTGTGTGCTATTATTCGCTGCGTCAAGGCTGCTCTTGCGACTTACATAACCACCACACCACACCACATTCAGATACGGCAATTTGTACTCAGAAGCCAGAGTGGATGCCTTGGATGCTCTGGAGAATCTTCCAGAACTGTCCGAATGTGATGATCTCAAGACCAAGCTGCTTCTTTCTATCATTGTGGTATCTTTTTTTTACAAATAATTTTTACGTTCTGTTGAATCAATGAATAGAAATGAATTACTTACTAATTACATGCACGTTTGTACTAATAACTTTTTATATAACATCTAATGTTCGATCAGGTTTTGTTTAGAATTATTAAAATTCTAACCTATAAAGAAATTTTTTAATTACAATTTTCTTTGCTCCATATTTGGTCACTGTGTTTTACTCAAGTAAAGTTAATGAAGTAAAATTTTCAATTAAAATTACTCAGTTGAGTTTTCGTTCGACGCAAAAGACCTTACTGGACCTGAAGACGAGAGTAAGGGAGATGCTGCACATCCCTCGGGTTCTGCAAAGTGGACTGCCCCACTTGTGTCACGCCGCAAACGACCTTGAAGATGACATTGGAGTTTATTTGAGGAAGACGCTGGATAAGCATGACTTAAGAAGGAATTACAACGTTAGAGCTATTGAATGTAGAACAATTACTTTTGTATAGAAAGAAATTATTTTACACTGTCATACCAAGTGTCGCTTGTTTTCGTTTCAGCTGCTTGGGTGGTTGACAGGTATTTGTCTTTCACATACACGGTTTTTTGTGTTGTCCAGTTTTTACTGAATTTAATTTTTTGGTTCGCTTTTATGTGTTCTTCATAAATATCACAACATTTATATAGTTTTTAACTTTATCAGCAGCCTATGCTTATTGGAAAGTTTAGAAGTCTAAATTTCACACAACAAATGTAAAAATTGTTTTTGTTGTAATTCATTTTCACGAATATATAATTATTTTATTTTACAGCCAGCTGATTATAACATTTATAATACCAGGACCACAATATTTGTAACGACCAATTTTTAATCAACATTCGATCATAAAGTTAACGTTTTTTTCATAACTCTTCAGGAAGTCAGCGAGCGAGTTTGGATCACCCTGTTTGACTACCCCTCTCTGAGAAACTGCAATGGTCTGACGAGGTAATGTTAAAATTTTCCTACAACTAATTTTACTGACTAAAAAAAAAGATACAAAACGAACAAACCTATATATGCATATTTCAATGAAGAGTTCAGAAAACCTGAATGCTAATAGGTACATCGAGGAGTGTGTATCGGTAGCCTGGTCGCTAACAGTTCAGAACCCACCGATGCTCATCGACTACGAGATGGGCCCTTTCGACCAAACCAAACATTCTCGATTCCATACATCTGACCCAAATTCGAAGGCCATCAAAGTCTATCTGTGGCCAGCTCTAACAGAAGGAGAAAAAGGAGCGTGTGTCAGCAAAGGAATCGTCATTACATGATTTTCAATTTTTTTCATTTTTTACTTTAATAATTTGTTTACACAAAAACAACTGCAATTCTTCTTGGCACAACTGTTGCTAAATTTATTAACGATATTGCTACGACTATACTTGTCTATGATTTTCAAACTAACGAATTTTTTCAGGTACACATGTTATTGTAAGAATGCTGTTTATTAAATGCTTGATAAGACATATCGTTATTTTCATTACCTTTGTATTTATCATTATAACTGATAATCTCAATGTAATGACTCTGCGATTAAATTCTGTTACCTAAAAACTTTTGAGGACAATATGCAAAAATGTTGTTAATACTACACTCTGCTTGACTAAGCGAGTTAACTGTGTTTTTCATAAGATAATCTTATTTTTCTTCTCAGCGAAAAAAATTAATCAAAATGAAATCAAAATTAGTCAAAATGGAACAAAACGTGATTGTGGGTCCATCTTGCGACCTAAATTCAATTAAAATTAAAAGCAATAAATTTGTCAAATTACCGTGTGGCTAATGATGTGGATAGTAATAAATGGGTTCTTTTAATAATCTATAAATTAATATATTAAAAAAATTTAATATTTAAAATAAGGAAAAAATCATAAAAACGCCGTGACAGACTCTGATTTTATGACTCTGATTAATATCTCATTGATAAACCTTCGTTGCAAATTGGAAAATTATGCGATCTGTAGATTTTTTCATTCTTTGAAAAATGTTTCCAGCATGTTTTTTTAGTGTAGTGGTAAAAAAAAGTAATTAAGATTAGGGATGCACCGAAGTTCGGCCCCGATCAAAATCCGGCTTTTTTCAAATCCGGTCGGATTTAAGCGTCCATCAACATTTAAAAACGTTATAAATAGAAAAATTTTTTTTATTAAATTCAATTAATTTTATGTCAATAAGTTAAAGGCTAAGCACACATGACACATAATAAAAACATCACTAATTATGAGGTGAGCTGGACAATTTTCTTTGTGCTATAACATGGGATATGCATAAATTATAAGCTGATCTTTGTGTAAAAGAACTTGTGCACGTGTATATACTATATAATTGTATATGACTGTAATTATATATATAGCTACATAATATATATATAGACATATATATGTTGGTAATGGACCCTAATTTTCACTTTAGTGAGAAAAATTGAAAAAACGAACTACAAACATATTAACGCCAAACATTCGGTAGAATTTATAGAATATTGTAAAAATAGACACACACACACACACATATATATATATATGTATATATATATATAGAGAGAGAGAGAGATAAATAAGCGCATAATTTAAGAACATGGTATGTTAAAGGTTAGGCTAAGCATACATGGCACATAATTACAACATCACTAACTGTGAGGTGGACAATTTTCTTTGTGCTTTTACATGGGCTATGCAAATATGCATAATTATAAGCTGATCTTTGTGTACAGAATTTGGCGTATCACACAGCTTATTCATATATTTGAATTAATTAACTATTTGCTTGGTGTTATTTTTTGATGTTCAACATGTAACCGTAAATGTGAGTATTTCCTCTAACGTATGTAAAATGGTAACTAAAATCCGGCCAAGTCCGGCCCGGCCGTGTTTGAAAAACCTAAATCCAGTGCATCCTTAATTAAGATAGCAACATCGATACGACGGACTTAGCTTAGCCTATATTGGAAGTTGACGGTCTCCTCCTACCCCTACAATGAATCAATCCAAACAATTTGTCAGACGAATACTCGCACAACTTTGGCCCGGGCATAGCGTCCTTAATAACTACAAATCAAGTTAAACAATAACATCAACATAAGTCTGTTTGCCATCCCCACCCAAATGATGCGCCTTCTCTTTGCTGCATCAACAGCTCCACTCATTTCAACACAACTCTTATGTAGGTTGCAAGTTGGTTGAAGCTACAGTTCAACGAACCAATAAGCTCTTGCCGTACGAATGGGAATAATAACAACTTGATGTAACAGACAAAATTTTCGTTTTAAATTATTTCAAAACGTTGTAAAAAAAAGATATAATAATTTACACATATTTACAATTTTATATGAAACGTAAAAGCATGTATTAAGCGCATTAAACGCATATATTAAACTTTTCATGGGACAGGAGCAATTTTTCTCACACCTCATGGGATGCACTCGATATTTGACGGGCTATAGCCAGTATAACAATTAAGTCTAACAGTGCTTGTTTGTAACTACGATGATTATTTTGTAAAACGTTTCTTTCATTAAGAATCGGTAATTTAACGGTAAACAATCGTTACTCTAGAACTTTTATCTTTTCAAATTGGTAACTGATTCAATGTTGGTGGAAAAATTTATTTGTCAATAACGCTATCGAAAATTAATGATGAAGTTGAAGTGAGTAATCTAAGTTGAATAAATATATAAAAAAATAGAGATAAATAAGCAGGTGGAAGAAAATAGTCTGATTGAACTGACAGTTGATGGTGATGGCAGGGGCTGGGCTTGACTGAATAGCCAATAGCCTCAAGCTGAGTTGCTGGTGGCTGTTTTAAAGTGATGTTATCCATCACATACTTACGATGTTTTGGACAGTAGAAAAGTTTGCTGAATGATGTTGCGCTACATTTTTTATAATTATCAAACTTAAAATATTTTGGCCCGGAGTGTGCATACACGTAAACGAGTTTGGAATTTTCAGGACAATCCACCAAAAAATACTTCGGTTCAAAGTTAAATTTATCTGTAAGATGACTTTTTCCGGAGAAAACACTTCTTACGCACAATGGACAGCGCCCTACTTCCTTAATAATGAATAAAACATTAACATAATTCTATTGTTCGCTGGATATCAGAATATTTAAATCAAAAATTCTAAAAAAATTTTATAACCTTGAGCCATACTCCGATGCAACTTTTGTGGTACGAATGCTTGCAAGGAAGTGTTTTGATGTCCCCTCGGTTCCCATACATTTTTGAACAAATAGGGCATATTTCTTTCGTATTGTAATTGTATTTGAGGAAGTTGTTCGCAATGCCAAATTGTCTAAATTGCAGTCCGAAGTAATAATCTTCATGGAATATTTTTCCTTTTATACCGTCCTATCAATGGTGCAGTAGTTTACGTTTAAACTTGCTTATAAAAAGTGTTTAGCCATTATGTTTTGTACAATTTTCTATTAAGTTGAACCTTTAAAAACAAATGTTCTGAACATATCAACTGCCCAAATGCATACATTAGAAGCCGGTTAATCGGACCAGATTTTGACATAGCTAAAGTGATAGTACGGGCAGGCATTTCATCTTTTTTATAGTATAACGCGTTACATTTGTATCAAAATTCAATGGCAGTGGCCGTTATTCTTCAAGAAGCAATTGATTTGAAAAACGTTCTAGATATTACAACACAATATTAAATGGCCATACAAATACACCATTTGTAATGTTTGCAAAAACAATCGCCTAAAAACGTTTAAAAAATTTTCTGTTTTAATGTTTTCAAATTAAGCATAACGATTTCATTAAACATAATTATTTTCGTTTCATCAGATCATTCAAAAAAATTATCAAACGAATCTGTCCAGACATGCGCTTATCAAAGTTTTGAATTTTGTGGAAATACAAGAAAAACAATATTTAAACACCCAAAAACAAAAAGTCCTAGCTACGTCTATGTACATGGGTTCACATTTGAACAATGCAAACATCATGTTACACAACGCATGTGCCCCTAGTAAGTTAATTAATAAAAATTTTTATGAGTACCGACGTATTTGATAACTTTAAGCAAAACTTACAAAACCTCAAACTCTCTGTGGACGATATTTTATTGCGGCTTACAGGTTTGCGGTCAGCCTCTAGGTTTAAGCAGACTAAATAAAGTTTAAGTATGATTTGCATAATTTCGTTCTTTCAAATTTGGTCCTACTAAGACTTTTTAACCGGTTCCTAGTGTATAATCAATTTAACTTTTATTGGAGCTGTTTGCTTTTGGAAAAATATCGATAGTTACATTGTTGAATGAACTTGCGTAAAAATTGACGATGTGATCCAAAAAATTTTCTGCATCTAGATCCACGGGTGAACCATCATCTGATCTTCGATTAAACTAGACATGTTTATTTGATTTACTTTATTTAATCTTAACATTCGTTAATTTATAATTTTCATTAGTTTATATTTCATTGAAGCAAAGATTGCATACGAACCGGATAGATTTCATCTTCTCCATTTTTAAAATAAAATCTATTTTCCATTGAACGTTTCTTTTGAAAATTACGCTACAAAATCAAAGTTTTAATTTAAGTTGTAGTGCAGCCGTTTATATGCTTACAAAAATGTCTACAAACCGAATATTCATTGATTACTTGCGATACTTTCTTCAAAACTCCATTGTCCCATTTAGGAAATTCCCGAAACCTATGTGCCCAACAGAGGAGTAGACAATAAATAAATCATTAAATAATAATTTTCATTAAAACAAAACCAGATTATTTTTCACACATTCACACACGTCCAGCGGTTTAATATCAAGCAGATAAATATTGCATTTGTGATGATGATGTGCAGGATCGAATTAAAAATAAACAAGCAAGTGTAAAATTTTTGAGACTCGTAATTGGATGGAGACCGCATAGGGCCCGCACGTCACACATTCTTATTTTTTTTTGAATAATGCCAATTTGAAACGGGTTTGTAAACGAAACGTGGTTACTACACTTACACTACATTTGCACAATGTACAGTTGTTTCTTTTATGAAAGACAAAGAAAAATTAATGGAAGAGAAAGACAAAGAGCAACCGCTTTACACAAACATGTCACACACAATCATAGTTCTTCATAAACGATAAGCCATTTAGTTTTTGAAAGAGTTAAAACTTGAGAAAGGAGAAAAATGATTTGCTATTAGAGAACTCAATTTGTCAATTGTTTATAAATATTGTTAGTTCGTTGTTTTGTTGAATTAAGCCTCGCCATATATAAAAGCTATAAATGAACTCAATATGTCACATGGCAAAATAAA